ACCCGCCTCTCTCTTTCGCCCTTCCTGCCTTAATAGATTGAAACCGACCTTGTGTTCCGGCTTCTTGTGGTCCTGGTAAATAGCTCTTAATGTGGCTGTGGTGGATGGGGAGAAGGAACGCGGGTGTGTGTGCCCCAGTGTGGGGGGCGGGGGTATGTGGCCCACAGGTCCTGCCCTCACGAGGGCTGGATAGACCTGGGTTGGGCCTGGGTGTCCTCAGTTTCTCCCCTTGATATGCAAAGGAAGACAACCACTGAAAGTTACAAAACAGCCTGCCTACGGGCCAGCACGTGGGTAGTCAAGAGCAGCCGGGTCCTCCTTTTGAGGACAGAAATAGACATTTGCAGTTTTACCGAGCAAACAGGATTTCATTACACAATTTACAAGTCTTCCGTTTTCTTATTAAGCCTTCATGGCCCGGCAGTTATCGTTCCTGACGTTGTTGCTCCTAACAGTCGCTCGCGTGGGGGTAAATTACATGGCGGAATCAGTTTAATATTGACATTTTCAAAATCAATGAAGAGTGGGGCCTGGCCAGCAGGGCCAGGATATTAGGTGGTAGATATCGCTGTGAATTCTCTCTCCTGGCCTTGGGGATGCTTTCTTAGCTCTTTTGCCAAAAAGCTCTTTCATGAACCCAAGTGAGGTGATAGAGCGAGCCTGTTTTGTGCTGGAAGGAGAGAGTACTCTCAGATTTGGACTCAGTGCTTCTCATTGCCGTCTGTCTAAGTGTAAGTGGAGAGGCCGTGGGACACTCCACATTTTGCTTGCTGCTTTCCCCACTTCGCAAACCACGTGAGCATGGATTTGAGGACTTAGGTGCAGGGCATGGAGGAGAACCCTAGCCAGGGAGGAACACTCTGGCATCTCACAGTGTGGGCTGCAGAGTGGGTCCAGGACTTGGGAATGGGCCTGCTTTCTCCAGGGCCAGCAGCTTTTCAGGTACAGTGAAAAGGAAAGATAGCTCCTCAGACTCCCACTAATTGGTGCGACGGGCCCATCCTGAAGGGACCACTGTCAGATATCTGAGTGGATGAGAAGCTTCTGTCTTTAATACTTTTCTCCTCTGGAAATAGCCAGCAGGAGTCTCTTCTCCTTTGTGTAGAAAGGCACCCAGTTCTTTGGAGAGACATACTTGAGGGGCAGGCTCTCTCATCTGCCAGTGTCCACCCTTTAGGGATGCTGACACGCAGGTTGGGAGAGGCAGCCATGCCTGCAACTGCCTGTTAGCAGCCTTCAGGTGTCCTGGCACAAGGACCAGCCCCATCCCATCCCTGTGAGCTCTAGGCTGCTTTGGCCCTGTACTGGCCCAGTGTCACTTCGGTTTTGCTGCTGGCCGAGGTCTGAAAGCTCCAGGGAAAACTTGGGGGGAGGGGCAGAGGGATGGTTCTGGAGAATGAAGTGAATTGGCAGAGCATCTAGCCCCCGGGTGTGTGTGTGGACAGTGTGCCCTGCCGGGCATCTCTGCTTGCACTCACTCACTCAGTGACGTCACTTGGTTGGCCTGTGGTTTGTGTGTGTGTGTGTGCCGATCAGGATGTTCCTGTTTTGTGGTTGTCTGATCACTTGCTTTTGGCCGTGGGCTTCTGTACGAGTGTTTATTTTTAGAGGCTGCCACTTCTGGCCTGAGGGCTGATCCTCGAGCATGGTAGGAGTTCCTAGTTTCTGAAATGTTTGTGGCTTTAAGTTGAAGTATTTGTTTCGGGGTATGGCTGCCTTTTCTGTGTTCATTTTACGGTGTGTGTATGTCTGTCTGTGTGAGGTATTAGAGTCAGTGTAGAAAAATAAAAATTGTGTGCTCTTTGAAATTCTAATTTTAAATTAATTTTGATTCTAATTGAGTTTTATTTTAATTAAGTCTTAAATTAGTTCGGATTTTAAACCCTAGCTTTATCAGGTACTATCTGCAACTAAATGGTTTCAGTACTGTCTGCACCTCAGTTTCTCCATGTTTAAAATAGGCATAACATTCCCCGACTCGTGGAAAGAATGTATGTGTAAATTGCATGGCCAAGTGTTTGGTGCATATAGGTGTTTGCTGCATATTAACTATTATTATTAATGTTGTTGTTGTTGTTGTATTTGTATATTTGTATCCCTGCCATGCTATCTGGTATACCCGGGAGTGCACTAGAGCGTTTGATTTGGGTGAATTCTGGGTGTTTGATTTGGGTGATTATTTGTTGAGTGACTCTGTGTGTCTCTGGACATCTTTGTGTTGAATGTTCTGTGTGTGTGTGTGTGTGTGTGTGTGTGTGTGTGTGTTGGGCCAGGGCTGGGCTGCTGACTGTACAGGGTGTGAAATCACTGAGTTCCTCTGGGTGGGGAAGTTCTTCGTTCCTGAGTCAGCCCTTTGGCCTTGAGCCACTCAGCACTCACTTTTTCCTTTCAGAGAAAGTATTGCTCACGGGCTCCCAGAGCCAGCTGTAGACACAATGACACAGGGAACACCTCTCCTTGATGAAAACTTCTGCTTTTTGTTCTCGATCCCTAAGATGCTTCCCCTTGTTCCCTGAACCCCCTTTCCAGAACTCCCAGGGGCCCCAGCATTCATAGCAAAAGCGTGTCCCATTTGACACAGGGCCTGCTCACTTTGCTGAGCCCCGTCCTGGCCCAGTACTTCCAAGTCCTTGGGAAGTTAGTGAAATGTCAGAGGCAAGTGTTGGCCCGGGGCATCTTGACCCCCAGGAACCTCTGCCCAGTCTTCAGCTCTGCTGCCTGGTCCTGAAGCTGGATATTGGGATGGGCTCTGCCCAAAAGCCTAGGGTAGGGGTCCTTTTGTCTTTTCATCTTTCTGCCACCTCAGCTCGATCTCAAGGTGCTGAGAGGAGGTTTGAGGATCCAGGAAATGGAATCTCTTACTGCTTTCCTTGGGAGACCAGAAGATGTCCTTGCCCCGCACTGACATCTGCTCTCTGTTGCTCTCTCTCTCGCAGAGGTTGTGGGACACACCCAGGGGCCGCTGGACGGGAGCCTGTACGCCAAGGTGAAGAAGAAAGACTCTCTGCACGGCAGCTCAGGGGCTGTCAATGCCACGCGTCCTGTCCTGTCAGCCACCCCCAACCACGTGGAACACACCCTCTCTGTGAGCAGTGACTCGGGCAACTCCACAGCTTCCACCAAGACAGACAAGACCGACGAGCCTGCCCCCGGCCCCTCCAGTGCTGCTGCTGCCCTGAGTCCTGAGGAGAAGCGTGAGCTGGACCGCCTGCTCAGTGGCTTCGGCTTAGAGCGAGAGAAGCCAGGCATCATGTACCACACCCAGCATCTCCGGTCCCGCCCTGCGGGGGGCCCTGCTGTGTCCTCCTCTGGCCGCCACGTTGTCCCAGCCCAGGTTCACGTCAACGGTGGGGCCTTGGCTTCTGAGCGGGAGACAGACATTCTTGACGATGAGCTGCCCAACCAGGATGGGCACAGCGTGGGCAGCATGGGCACACTGTCTTCCGTGGATGGGATCACCAACACCAGTGAGGGGGGCTACCCAGAGGCCCTGTCCCCACTCACCAACGGTCTAGACAAGCCCTATCCCGTGGAACCTATGGTCAATGGCGGGGGCTACCCCTACGAGTCTGCCAGCCGGGCAGTGCCTGCCCATGCTGGCCACGTGGCCCCCATGCGGCCCTCCCACTCTACACAGGAGGGTTTAACTGGCTACCAACGGGAGGGCCCCCACCCAGCCTGGCCACAGCCAGTGAACACCTCCCACTATAGCCATGACCCCAGCGGTATGTTCCGCTCTCAGTCCTTCCCGGAAGCTGAGCCCCAGCTGCCCCCAGCTCCAGCCCGTGGGGGAAGCAGCCGGGAGGCTGTGCAGAGGGGCCTCAATTCCTGGCAGCAGCAACAGCAGCAGCAGCAGCAGCCTCGCCCTCCTCCTCGCCAGCAGGAAAGAGCCCACTTGGAGAGTCTGGGGCTCAGTAGGCCTAGTCCCCAGCTGTTGGCAGAAACCCCTGTGCCTGGCCTCCCTGAGTTCCCACGGGCAGCCTCCCAGCAGGAGATCGAGCAGTCCATCGAAACCCTCAACATGCTGATGCTGGACCTGGAGCCAGCTGCGGCTGCCGCCCCCCTGCACAAATCCCAGAGTGTCCCAGGGGCCTGGCCAGGGGCCTCCCCGCTCTCTTCCCAGCCCTTCTCCGGCTCCTCCTGCCAGTCCCATCCGCTGACCCAGTCCAGATCTGGCTACATCCCCAGTGGGCATTCCTTGGGAACCCCTGAGCCAGCTCCACAGGCCTCCCTGGAGTCCGTCCCTCCTGGCAGGCCTTACTCACCTTATGATTATCAGCCATGTCCGGCTGGGCCCAACCAGAGCTACCGTCCAAAGAGCCCAGCTTCCTCCTCCACGTCCTCTGCCTTCCTTCCAACCACTCACAGCCCTTCAGGGCCTCAGCAGCCTCCGGCATCTCTCCCTGGCCTCACCGCTCAGCCTCAGCTCTCACCAAAGGAAGCGACTTCAGATCCATCCCGAACTCCGGAGGAGGAACCCTTGAACTTGGAGGGGCTAGTGGCCCACCGGGTAGCAGGTAAGAGCTTCAGTGCTGAGTATCCCCTCCTTACTCCCTCCACACCTTCCCTCTTTGGTCTTTGTTCATCATGCTGTGGGGAGGTGCAGGCACAGCCATCATACCTCAACAGATGCTGCTTTGGCCTAGAGAAGAGGCTGTCAGGAGCCCACGCACTAGCCATCCCTTCCTGCATTCATTGTCTGTTAGGCTCCAAGGCAGGCATTGAGATTGATAGGTCAATGCATTTTAGTTCCTGTCCTCAAGGAGCTTATAGTCTAATGAGAGGACAGATACACAGAGATAATTCTAATAGAGTAAAATGTGTACTACAACAGAGATGGGGACCGCAACCCCAGAGCCTGGGGAAATCAAGGCTTACCACCTAAGGCAATCAGGGAAAGCTTCTTATAGGTGGTTACTTTGGAGCTGGAGGACAGATTTTCTGGGCAGAGAGATGCTCTCTGCAACTACCTGCAGTTCTCTCTGTCCTCAGACTTCAGTTTCTTGGGGAAGGCACGGAAAAGGCTGGAGGGAGGTCTCTACAGACTTGAATTCCCTCTTGGGCCCTCCCAGAGGCATAATGAAGCCTGAAGCCCGGGAGGGTGTCCGGAAGCTCTTGGGCTCTTTCTGAGTGGTCAGCCCTGGTGGATCCTTCCAAAGTATTTCTCTGTTTCAGGGGAGGCCAAGGTCCCCCTTCTTGTCCAGCTGTCCCATTGGCCCTTGCTTTAGGCAGCTTTGTATGGGAAGCAGGCACTGAAAAACAAAGCTCCATTTTCTATCAGAACATGAAAAAGAGAGAGAGTGGAGCAACCAGAAGAACTTACTGGGGAGATAAAGGCAAGAAATGAAAGAATGTCCAGGGCCATGTTGGGAGGGACAGGAAGGGCTCCCTTCCTTCCCACTGGTCTAAGCCTATGACCATTCCATGGGGGCAGCCAAACTGGGTGGGGAATCCTATGGGGTGGTTTTGTCATGGAGGTAAAGCCCAGGCAGGAGTGAACCAGAGACTGGTGCTGGGGGAGCCTTGTGCCAAGTTCCTCAGCTGACAGGTTAGTGGAAGCTCAGGGAGGGGAAGAGTCTGGGCAGCTGACTCTGCCCTCCACCCCTTTTCCTAAATTTAGGGGAAGCTGAGTCACTATGCCAGCTGCCTGAAGGGAGGGAGACATCCTCCCTGGGGATGGATGGTGGGTTTGGGGAAGTAGCTGGGAGTAGGCCAGCTGGCTATTGAGCTGGGCCCAGGACCTGGGTGTGGAGGCATGAACACCCTGCTCCTGTTCTTCAGAGCAGAGTGCAGTCCCCAGTTCAACTCTTGGTAACTTGAAATTGGCCGTAATGGAAGTATTTACATCACGGAAGCTGGCAATCAGGGCTTCACCTCTCCCTGAAGAGCTGGTCTAGCAGCACATCATTGCTTCTACACAAGAGTCAAAATGCAGGATGAGTAGCTCTGTAACCCTAGAAGGGAAAGAAAGTCTCCATGGGGTGGCCCAGATGGGGCTGGTGTCTTCTGCTTTCTCCCATGTCCAGGCCCCTGAGGTAAGGACTCCCCGGCTTCTTTATCAGCAGAGATGCTTTTCCTCCTGGTTTTGTTGAAGGGAGAGAAATGAGGCCCTCTTGGTATTTTCCAGAGTTGGTCTGGTAGCCTGAGAAATAGCGACACTCTAGCCTAATGATGGGCAGGATCCAGGGGGCTTTTCTCTGGGGGAAATGGATGAATTTCCACCCCTACCAAAACTCTCCGGGAGCTGGCTCAAGAGGAAGCCATACCTTAATGGTCTAGGAAGGATGCCCATCTTGTAGTGCATCTTCCCTCAGCCTTTTCTCTCCTACTAGTTTCCACAGTCTTGACTATCAACCTCCGTATCCTATAGCTGCTCAGTCTTTGGCTGCCAAGAAGTCATAGGAAGGGGGAGAAATTGTTGGTACATCTCTGCTCCCATATCCTCCACCAACTGTGAGTGACTCAGTCAGAAGAAGGCATGAGATGTAGAGAAGGGATAGTTACGTTTGGTTTCCAGGGCTATAAAAGGGCCTCTTTGGTCCATGCCTTGTCGTGAACAGTATTTCTTGTTAGCAGGTCCTGCTTGCACAGCTTCAGTAGCCCTTCAGAGTGTCTGCAATGCTTGTATACATAAAGGCACATAGGTAGGATCAATATGCAGAATAATCTAAGAGCCAGGGAGGATAGACTTCCAGCATTCTACATTCTTATCATGAAACTGGAACATAAGCTTTAACATGAGTAACCCAGGAAGCTCAGATCTGAGAGAGAACCTCTTCATGGCCATGAACTTGATCTGGTTTCTCCTGGCTTTTCTCCCTCACGTCTGCCTTATTCTCCTTGGCCGTTCCCCATACCACAGTACTATGTCCCTGGTTCATTCCACTTTGATCAACCACTCCTTATATTTTATTTAAGCTTGGATCACAGAGAATGTAGGGGTAGTTTTCTTAACTGGAGAGAAGGTAGGTATCAGAAACCTGTAGCACGCATCACACTTTCTTGTGAAACATTAGAAACATTCCCATTACAGCCAGGGACAAAATAAGAATACTTGCTATATCACCACTATCATTTAACATTGTATTAGATATCCTGGCCAGTGGAATAAGACGGGAAGAAGAAATAAGAGTCAGAGTTGGCGAGTCCAATCGAGTTATCTTATGATCTCGATTCTGTGACTGGACTGATCTCAGATGTCTCTAGAGGTAGAGATTTCAGTGCATGTTGGAAATAAGATGTGGATATTATCCTTAAGGAATGTAGAGTTTATGGAGAGAAGAAAAGAATTGGAACTTGAAAATGAAGTCTTTCATAATAAGGGAGGTATGGAGAAAGTTCTGTGGGAGTGGGGGAAAAAGGAGATATCACTATCAGTTAAGAGATTGGAGAGGTTCTGTGTTGAGTGTGGGCTTTAAACCCACAGAGCCTTGAACAATGAATAGGATTTGGAAAGTGAATGGAGTCATTGGAGAGAAAAGGTTCCTAGTGTAGACAGTAAAGCACAGGAAATGTTTGAAGAATAGAGTAGATTGAGAGCAGATAGGCTGTATAAGATCAGTCAAGAAAGATAGCCCAGGACCTGCCTCTGTATGGTCTTAAATACCAGTCTAAGGAGTTTGAATATTGCCTAGCAGTAATGTAGGAAGCCACGATTACTTTGTTTTAGTCAGGAGAGTATGCTGTGATCAGAGCTATAGTTTAGAAAGATATGTATACCTGGTGAGTCTGGGCAGGAAGAATGAAAAATGGGAGTGATTTTGAGTCAGGAGATGTAGGAGCTTATTAGATAGCCTGGGTAATGGGGACTAGATTAGGGTGCTGACCATGGGAATGAAAAAGCAGAGAGGGAGGCTGCGGAAGTCGTGGGTGTTTGCAAATTGATTGGATGCAGTGGGTGAGGGAGAAGGAGACATTGAAGATGATTCTGAGGCTCCACGAATAGCAACAGAATGATGTTTCCATTAACAAGCTGGGACTTAGGAGGAAGGGCAAATTCGGTGTAAGATGAAGACCCAGGGTTAGACATGTTGAGCTCGAGGTGATGGTGGGGCTTCCATGTATGGAAGGCAGTTGAACATCCAGAATTGGAGCTTGAAGGAGTGAAGAGAGCTATAGAATTTGGAGCCCTCCTCATAAAGGTGAAGTTTAAAGCTTTGGGCATGGACACGATCTCTATCTAAGTCAGAGGGCATGGGAGAAAACAACATAAGTGAAAATAGCCATGGGGGGAGTGGAGGCTGCCCAGGGGACTGAGAGTGAATGCTCAGGGCAGTGGGTCATCACAGAAGTCAGGATGTTCAAAGGTTTCCGGGGGGTGTGGAGGGGGGCAAGTGTGGGGGTTTAGCAATGTCACTGTGGAGAGATGGTGAAGAGGATTGAGAAAAATGCATTGGGCTTGCCAATTAAGTGGCCCCAGTGAGTTTCAAAGGCATATTTTCCATAGAGTGCGGGTGACAGAAGCCAGACTGAGAGATTGAGGAGTGAGTGGAGAGGGAGTGCAGACAGCATGTCAACTACTCCTTTGAGTGGTTTTGTGATAAAAGGAGACGAGATGGTAACTAAAGAGGGTAGCAAGATATTAAGAATTTTTTCTTTTGTAAATATAGGGACCGTTAGAATTTTTTTGGAGGGCAGAGAGAGAGAGAGAGAGAGAGAGAGAGAAGAGAGAGAGAGAGAGAGGGTGGTTGTATATAAATACAGAGGGGAGCGGGAGAAAAAAAGATGAGAGAGAAAATTGATGGAGTAAGATCTCTAAAAAATGTAAGAGGGGCTTAGAAGCCTGGGTGGATAATTTAGGCTCGACCGGGAGGTGAGATACCTCTTTATGAAATAATAAAGGATGGATACAGATATAGGGAGATACTGGTGTCAGGCTTTGAGAGCTTGTACTGAGAACCCAATTTTTACATTTCATCGTGGAAATAGGAGATGCGATCAAGCCCCATTCTATTATTTATTCAACATGAGCTGCTAGTCTCTGCTACATGCTAATCTATGCTCTAGAAAGGATGATGGTAAACAAAAGAGGTAAAAATCTTTGCCTTCGTGGTGGAGGTGGACAATAAAAAAATAAGGAAATACATACATAATATATCAGATGAATGATAAATGCCATAGAGATGAAATAAGGTAGTGAAGAAGTGCCAGTGGGGGGAAGAGGGTGGGTGGATGATTGCACTTTATGGAGGATGGTCAGGGAAGGCTTCTCTCGGTGGAGAGAGAATGTGCCAGGTAGACTAGCAAGTGCAAAGGCCCTGAGGCAAGAGTATGCCTGATCTGGAGAGTATTGACACTAAGTCAGAGAGGTGATGGGAATGAGGGCCAGCTTACATGGGCCTTTTACTCAGCGTGGTATGAGACGTCTTAGGAAGGATTTGGGCAAAGAAGCGACTTCCTCTAAAAGGATCAATGTGGCCTGGATGGAAGGAGGCTGCTGGTATTGATCAGGATGGGATCTGTGGTGATGGCGAGAAGTGCTGATTGTAGGCTTATTTTGGAGGTGGAGCCATGAAGA